ATTCCCCGTTGTCACTATAACACTAGACTCGTCAAAAAAATGAATTTGATTTGCTTTAAACCTAGATATTGCTTGAAGATACTCATTTTGTTTGTTAATGTTCTGGGGGGTTTGTGCTTCTGTAGGTATTCGCGTTAGTTTCTTTTTGCTCATTGCAAGATCTTGTTTTATTGTTTTATTTATTTGTGAGGTACTCGGTATGTTCTGTTGATTCACTACTCCATCAAGTAAGAGGCGGTTTTGGATTTCTGAAGCATGTACGCTTGGTTTCATTATTTTTTCTACAGAAATATACTCTAAGACTTGTTCGTTGATCTTATTTGCGGGGTAATTCAATTGTGGGATGGATATAGAAAGGTTTGTTTGGTCATAGTGTTCAATCACTTTTTGTACATTTGTACATTTTGTACATTTGTACATTTTGTACATATAGCTATTTGACGTTGACTTATACCCTCGTGGTATAGATCCAAAAGACGTTCTCGTACTGAACTTGGATACTTTTGGCCATTACTATAACTGTTTCCGTGCTGGTTTACACACAGGTTGATGTTAGCTAAAAACAAATGTCAAATATGATTATATACATGTAACCGGAAATAAAGCATATCAAATACCCGACTGTAAAAGCTTACATTGATTATAAATACGGTGCATTATCACTTGTCTTTTCTCTGCTACGGTGATTAGACCACTATGTAGTCCAAGCTTTGTAATGACGAGTCCAGCCGTTTGTGCTCAAGAAAATTGAAAGAAAATCCTGACCGTTGAGTCTGATTCGAATAAATATATTTCAATTCTGCGCGCGTTCAAGAAAATTGAAAGAAAATCCCGACCGTTGAGTCTGATTCGAATAAATATATTTCAATTAAGCGCGCGCAAGGATAAAAGAGGGTCCAGTTCGGGACTAAGCAAGATTGGCTTTACTGTAGAAGCCGGATTCTACTTCAACAGCGAACAACTAAAGTATCAAAGTTTTTGATCCAAAAATAGCCATCACGTTCATTCGGTCTTTCCCAGGCATAAAAACACTCGTATACATTTCATAATATGACACTGTCTCGACACTGTCACTGATTGGAATAATGATAAGAGCTTTGAGAAATTTCGACTAAGAAACCTTACAATATAAAAGGAGAAAAATAGAATAAACTTGACAACATAATAAAGTGTACATATTTTATTGATTGAATTCAAACCGAGCCGAGTTTGGCTTTAGTTATTTCAACC